GCCTCAGAAAATGGAGTGTCATATGACGTTTTTTTCTCTGTGTCGTTTTCGTCATCGTCGTCACAAACTCATTTGATTGAATAATGAAGTTATGGTTTTAGATTATGTCTTTGTATACGCTAAAATAAAAGAGCAATGAAAGGAGAGAAAAAAAAACGAAAAAGAAAAGAAAAAAAACGGCAAGCAAAAGTCGTATGAATAAAAAAAACATACATAATTCAAACATTTTACAATATATTACGAATTGAAATGCCGTGAACATGCTTAATTAGGCCCCCCGTGTTGGATTATGTGTGTGGGCTTCGTTCTGTTCACTCTCAACGTCTCTCAGAACAATATGTGTATACACATGTACGAAGCAAAAAAAAAACCAACAAACGGTGGAAAGAAACAACGACACCGTCGACGACTACGACGACGCCAAGAGAGAAAGAGGAATGGAAAAAAGAGCAAACGAGCGCGCGCGACTTCTTCGCCATATGAGCACGACCGATCGTGTGTATGAGTGTGTGTGTGTGCATAGGATATATCTCGCGCGCGTATGGTGATATACATCGCTTGTGTGTACGCAGAATGCGGGGCACACACAAAATGAACACAGTGAGAGAGACACACAGAAATGGAGAATTTAGTGCAAATTAGAAGCAGGGAACAGAGTAAACCAGCACATTAACACCAACACTTTGGTTCTCTCTGAGTGTATATGTGTGCCCCATTGGTTCGACGCGGTTTCTGTCCAAACGTAAATGGAAATGTGTAAAATATTGTGTGCGTTCGTGAGTGTGTATGTTCATTCATAAGTTGTACCCAATAGATCATCATAAGCTACCGATGAGACAAAGAAAAAACCGAAGAAAATCACAACAAGAAAACACCACGGCCACGGTTCGTTTTTGAGTCGTGTGCATTTTTCTCTTGCGGCTATTTGTGCCTTTGAACCTCATTTGACTTTAATGATCCTTTCAATCGAGTGAATTCCACGTAGATTCGATGTTACGGTCGATTCCATGATTAAGACGCACATGTAAACGATGTACCTTGACCTTTTTTCCGAGCTGCTTTGCTTGGCTCGGCTCGTCCCGGCTTTGCCGCAAAATGTGTTTTGACGCCAAATTTCAACATCATACATGCATTTGCCAAAGAATGTACACGAACATTAGCGGACACAAATTTGACGTACAGTGCACACACGCTCCAACTCTTGGCTCGTACACACATTCGCTATACACTCATTCAAAATTCTTTCAGCCTAATTATTGTTTCATCAAATCTCATCCATACCACCCGACACAAATCATGCCAACTCTATAGAACGGGCGCACACAAAATATGTAAATTGGTTAGCATTTTTGTGTGCGGCCATAAACAACGTCATTTCGTAAAAGTTCAATTTACAATCACACACAATTCACAATGCAAAGTGAGCGAGTGACTCTGTGCACAGCACAGCACACACACACACACACACAAAACACGATAAACAGCTCATTTCCCATTTTACCATTTTCTAAAAATACACACACATACGGCCATTGCATATTTGCTGCTTTTTCCATATTCAAAGCAATTTTCTTGCGTCTACGATAATTTCTCGTCATGTAAACATTGGACACTGTCTACCTCTCTCCTTCTTTTACTCTTGCTCTTGCTTTTATTCCTTTTGCCCCGGTGTACCAAAGCAATAAGCCAGCCGTTCGTTAACACACAATCGGTCGTTGTGCAACATGAAAGGTGAAAAAAAACATGCAAAAATACACCAACCAATGTTTTTTTCTTTTCTTTTTGAAACACAGTTAGACTTTGGCACACACATCACCAACAACTGACTTTCCTAAATCACTGAATTCACCATTTCGGCCGAGTAATGGTCTAATTTAAATTCTGAAAAGCAAATGACTGATTTTCGGTTCATTTGGCTGCTCAACCAACAGTGCATTAGTTTTTCACTCATTGATTTTTAGTGACTTTTAAGAACACCCTCTTCGCGGCCTCTACATACACGCGAATACACACACAAAATTTGAAATTCACATTAAAACGGCATCGGAAGTTGTGATTTTAATTGAAAATTAAAAATTAGCTTCGGGGATTTGGGGCAATTGAGTTGTTTACAATTGCATGGCGCCATCGTTTCACTTCATCTCTCGCGCGTGCAAAACAGACGCGCGCACACACACACACACAGAGAGAGAGAGAGAGAGAGAGAGAGAGAGAGAAAGAATTCTGCACTCATGAAACAAAGAGCCGAACGAGCAAAGAGAGAACAAGAGAATGTCTACGAATGTTTAATCATCATTTTTATCTCGTAGAAAGACGTTGTAGATCCTTTATTAACGCCCATAAAATGAAACCGAGTGATTTTACAATTCAAAGTTGGGCTCGTAGACGCGGCCAACAACAACAACGACAGCAAAGCAAGAAGACACACGATGAAGAAGAACGTTACATGTTGGAATTTAATTAGCAATGAAAACAATAAACCCAAATAAAAGAGTCAAGACATATCAACGCAATTGTGTCGACGTGTACACTGTACACTATACAAAATTGTACAGTACACATAAAATTCACAAAGAGACAACTATTCAATGCTGGGATGAACTGAAACAAAATATATTTATGGTGCTTTTTGTTCGTAAATTGTAACGTCGAATACGTGATCGTTGTATTTGGCGAAGGGATTAAAAACTGGTACATTGTAGCAAAGACAGAGAACAGTCATAATAACATGAATCCAAAGGGATAAAAATCATTTGTTTTGCAAAAGCCACACACACACAATATCGTCTCTATTTCGTCTCTCTTACTCCTTTTGCAACTCAACGGCACCCGCTATCCCACTTGGTAAATAAAGCAATACAATGTTTTATTCGTAGAAAATGTTTCGGCAATCATTCCCAATCACATTTTGACGGCCGTAGGGAGCTTCCGCGCAGCACACTCGAATCGGAGGGTGTGTTCTCATTGCTGAACATTTAATAAGGTTAATTTTTTCATGGATGTCACCGAAAATGAAATGGCAATCGTAATCATGAATTGTATCAAATGAATTCGTACTGTAACTACAATAAAAATGAAATGAAGAAAGAAAAGAAAGGACGATTCTACGCACGACTTCGACTCTCCCCCTCGCATACAAATTGACGACATTTATTTGACTTATTCCGACGTATGCTTTTCAGTTACTATCGACCATACACTCAATTAAATGTCGTTTTCTGCGTATTAAAATGCCTTCATCTGGCTGCATTCAGATAATTCGCCTAATGTTCTCGCAGCTCAAGCACCAGTTTATTTCCATTTTGTCATTTTGTCGCAACGTAAGATAAGAACAAGTGAAAAAAAAAATGCAAACCAATGTATGAATGGAATTTCGGCAAAGTACACTCGGCAAAGAAGTGTGAAGAAAATTCCATGTTGGTGTATTTGGCGCTATACTTATGGTGGTAATTTGCCGAATTTTACGTAAACAACGTAGAAGAAAAAAAAACATTTCTTCATCGAGAAGGAATTTTTACTTTTAATAGCGCGATATTTTCTGTATTTACGTCATGTCTTCCATTCGAAGTCTTCAAAATAGCCAACGGTTTGTGTGGTTTCACAAAGTGCAGGGACATTTCGATGAGTCTATTAAATGTATGTAATCGATGTACAAACACTTGTTTAGCTGTTCGAAGAATGAAAAATTTATTAGAAAAATGCTTGAATGGCAGGAAACGACGGCAATATCGTTGTCGTCGACGACGATGAAAGAGAAATGGCAGACGATACAACGAAATAAAGAGAAAAAATTGTGTAAACCTAATGGCTCGAATCAAAATAGCAGCCAATAAAGCACAGCACGTTATCTCATGTTCACACTCTTAAATCATATATTAGTATTGACGAAGTGGAATTGCGTGTGCCCCGTCGAAGGAGTGGAAATACAGCCTGCGAGAATTTTTTGATTGCTGCTGCTGCTGCCGCTGCTGCTGCCGCTGCTGCTGCCGCTGCTGTTGAATGGGAAAAAAATTGAACCAACATAAAAAATGCATCATATAACGACGCCAAATAGTAATCAGTCGAGTAAATAATGGGCTGAGAAGAGGGCGGAAGGGTGATAAAAAATCAATTGTTTATCTTTGGCTTTGTCATATATCCGTTCTTTACAGTTTTTTTTTCTTTCTGTGCTACAGTTCTCCCTCTTTCTCTCTCTCCCTATCTCTCTCTCTCCTTCCCTCTATCTCTCTCTTCTTCTCTATCTCTTTCTTCGCCACGCTCTGTTTGTTCAAAATTTAAAAAAAAAACACACACACATCGAATCGACTGCGAAAAACATACGTTTCGAATGCGATAACAATAAATGGTGTTAAGATATCGAACGCAGTTTTTTTTACTGTTCGAAAAGGGGTGATTACAAGCAGCCATCAACCCACAAACTGAACTACATTTATTAGCCTGCTGTAGCTGTGTATGCCATGTCGCATTCGTTGCGGAATCAATGCACAGCACAATGCGAATGAAAAGAAGAAGTAAAAAATAAACCGTCGGTGTAATCGATTACTGGTGCTAAGCAACGCATATAAAGCACTTGCCATACGATTGCATTAAATTTCATTATCATTTAAGTTTCGTTTTTTTGCCCCTGAAAAAAATACAAACAGCATATATTGGGTTTTTATCATTGCAATTGCTTTGGAACAAAGGGAAATTGTCAATTGTGAACATAATAATTGAAGTTCACAAGTGAATCATCGAAATGGATAAGAGGGTTTGAACAACGAATTAAATTTGAAAGAAAAGCAGAACGAAATGAAAGACTGGAAGCATGAATCGTAGTTGAAAATTACTATTGTAAAAATACAGCAAATTGAAATTGTTGTCATTGGAATTATTGTCCTTTTAAATTAATTTTGGATCAGCGACTGTTGATTATTGCTATAATTAGTTAGATATTAAAATCATCACATTAATCATAAACATCTTTAACCAATGAATTGTTCTTTTTTGTTTCATTTCAGGAAGAAGTAAGTGACTACAAATTACCTTTACAAATCCGCCTGTGAACCGGGTGTTCCGATTGGAGATTCTTGTCAAACATACGAACTATTCCACTTTGTTAACCAGAGCATCGTGTATTTTCGGATCTATTCCTGAAACAAATTATTCAATTAGTTACCTCTTTTCGAGTGCCTGCACATTCAATACAGAAATATCTCGAAAATCTTTTTAAAACAGAATCTTAAGCGCTACCTTCACGTGCAGTCGGCTTGACAGACACTCTTGAGCACTTGAACTAATAAATCATCCGGTATACGTTTTCCCTCAACGAGTGTGTTGTATACGCAAGACAAACCTTTATGCCTTATTGCTAAGAAATTTTCGGTTCCTTATACTTTCGCATTTGCTATGGCTAGCATTTTATCTTTGTGAAAGCCGAAATTTCTAATCATTTCGAGAATAATTATTGCCATTTGGAAAGGAATAAGAGTGCGATTTTCGGCACAGTCAACCATACATTCAAATATGCTACCGTTCAAATAGATTGCATGTTCATAACATCCAAAAGAAGGGCGTGAAATATCACCGAAACATCGATACTTTCTCTTTAAATACACTTTCATCGACGGAAACGTGCACAGCGTCTGTATGTTGGTAAACCTCGAAACCGACTAGAGAGAGATAGAGTGTGTTTGAGAGTGAGAGAGAATGAGAAAGATGGAGAGCGAGAAAAAAACTCACGATATGAGTAGGTAAAATATACATGAGGCTGAAAAATCTCCAAGGTTTTTCGGTATTTGGCCGTTTAAAAGATTACAGGGAAAATTCTTGAGATTTGGCACTGTTCAACATAATTACACATTCAGTGCGCACAAAATATTATAAATGAATGCTCGATTACGGTTTGAACGAAGCATTTCGAAAGTGCTGCTTCTGCAATTCGTCTTTGGTGAAACAATCTTTGGTGCTCGCGTTTGCCCGCGATTCCTATGTATTTGCTCTCCGTCTCTCTCTCTATCTCTTGCTCCCCAGACAAACTGAATAAGATTAATGAATGTTTCGGGTTGCGCGCGCTCTCATTCGGGTCTAGATCGACTGAATCATGACACGGTAAAGTTTTAATAAAAATTTCATTACAAAAGCATTGGACAAAGGGATTCAATCTCGAAGCGAGTGCGCTTCACTTACGGGATATTAGTGGATTTTGTGTGCCTTCAGGACAAAAGCATATCAATCAATTTCTTTGCGTTAAGCAGTGAAAATTGCAAGTTAATAGTTTCTTATTGCTTCAGCTTAATCTTCTGTGTTAATTGCTCGAAAGTGAGAATGTAGTTTGCGTTTTGTTTGGACAAAGAATTTAACCAGCCTGAAAACAGCCTGCTACTCCGTGTAAAGTCTTATGCTGAATTTGTTAATAAATGCACAAATTTTCAGGTCCGCGAGCCAGACGTCCGAAGAAACCGACTGATAAAACACCAAATGACGAAAAGCGGCCAAGAACTGCATTTAGTGGGCCTCAACTGGCCAGACTCAAGGTGAGTTGATACAAAAACCAAATAAAAGAAGTAGCAATAACACGGGCTTTTGTCGACAGAAGTCCACATTTTTTAAGAATAGTCAAGTGCTCACCAAGTTTTATATGTGATTTTTTGTTTGTTCTCGTTTCGTTTTTCGTTCAGAATGAATTTGCGGAGAATCGATATTTAACCGAGCGTCGTCGTCAACAGTTGAGCTCAGAGTTGGGATTGAATGAGGCTCAAATAAAGATTTGGTTTCAAAATAAGCGAGCCAAAATTAAAAAATCATCTGGCCAAAAGAATCCACTAGCACTTCAATTAATGGCACAAGGTTTGTATAACTTTAGTCCAAGCAGTTAATGGTTCAGACGCAGTTTGCTAGATAAAACAAGAATAAGGATCGCTGAATTGGCTGAAAACTTACTCATCACACATAGCTGCGTTTGTTTGATTATCTAATTGTCGAAAACTTACAGGTTTGTATAATCATTCAACGGTGCCATTAACGCGTGAAGAGGAGGAAATGCAAGAGATGCAGGAACGCGCCAACGCTGAAAAAGCCTCGAATCTCAATTCAAGTGAACTGGGCGATGAGGACGATGATGATGATTGAAGACAAACAATTGGCCACTCATAGTCTCCGTCATCGTCGGCAGCATGAGATCACTCAATCAATATATTCCCTTGAATATACGATCACACCGTTTTCCACTTCATACAACACCACCATCAACAACTGATTGACTTCTCTCAAAGGTACTGTTCAAAATGGAACTCTTCTTTTTTTTAACGAAAACTTAATAAAAACAACGTACAAAAAGGCTTAAATGAAACCATTAAAATAGTGATAAATTGAATATGGTTAGAACATAGCAAACAGTGAATTTAATTTGATGAGAAAGGGAGAGAGAGAGAGAGGAATTCTTGTAAATATTTATTAAAACGAGAGAAGCCTTAAATGGTTCATAAATTTAATTTAATTGTAAATAAATACCAAAGCAACAAAGGCATTTTTTGGGGATCGCATCGAACTGACTTTTCTAAATAAGAAATAATTCTTTCCCACTGTTTTTTTTTCTTCTAATTGCCACTTCTCAGATTTTATTTGCAATAACAACAAAAAAAACTGTCAAATTAGAATGATAACCATCATAAGATATTATGAACTGAAATTAAGTCACACGCAGAAAAGAACGGTTTACTTTTTTTGCTTGTCGATATCCAAGCATTTTGTCCAACCGAATGGATTTAATCCATAAAGTGGGAGAAATCCCAACCACAATTCTAAGAGGTTCTCTCATCAAATGGAAACCTAACGTTTTTCTTTTGGTTAGCAAATTTTTATCACACAAAATTGTTCAAACTCAATCCTGTGATTTTTAAACTGATTTTCAATAATGTCTGCACGGTTCTTCTACTATCAAATCGGTTGACAATTGTTATTACTGTGCAATCAAATTTGAATCAACTCTTTGAGACTCATCATTTTTAGGAAGAAGTAAATCATATTTTTGGGTATACACAGAGAGAAATGAGGTTACGTTCAACACCAAAAAACATTGCAAAGTGTCAAAATGCGACAGTATTTGTGAAAATCGCAACAAATGTTCAGATTAGTATTTGTATGCAACGCACCCAATTCCGTACTATATTGACAGTCAAACATTTGTTACGATTTTCACAAATACTGTGGTAAAATGCCAAAATTATATTTTTGTATTGGTGAATCCATGTTGGATTTCTGTCTGTGCATTGATACCAAATGTATACATTTTGAGCATTTTGAGAGAGTTTGGTTATTTTGAGTTGTGTCCTTACTTACAACAAATGTAGAGTTTTTATTCAAAAATCCGAAATTATGATACAGATGTTAGTGTATCTTATGCCTGGTGCTACTTCCATCGAAGAATGATAATTTCTGAGTCCCATGGAATTGCAAATTTGGTTGTACAATATTATTTTATGTGCCGTGTTCCAGCTTAAACATTTTTCTCGTAGCAATTTTTCAACAGATTTAACGATCAACAAACACATTGTCTTAAAAAAAACTTAGATAAGAATAGCAATAATATCAAAAGAAAAGAAAACAAAAATCTGGAGGAGTAGGATATAATGCAACAAATTGCTCTTTTTCCCATTTCAATCGAGCGAGAGAAAAAAAAACGTATAAAAAGATTATTGAAATCTTGTGGTTTAATAGAATCATGCGCGCTTTACAATGCAAGTTAATGACGCTTATAAAATGTTAAAAAATGGCAAACGGGTTAGATGCGACTACGAATCAAACCATCTTCTCTCAACCAATAGTTTCACGCATTTCTGCGCGCCATTCGAAACCTAAAGCAGAAACAGTTCGAACCATATGACATCAGAACCATCATCAACCGTTTACTGAGAGTAAATGCGATTAAATTCTTTAATATATTCGTCATTAAATGAGTCCATAACAAAATTCCATTACGAATCGAGGAACGATAGAACGAACGAAAGAAAAACATAATTTAATCTGTTGTCATTCAGTAAATTTGTTATTTTTGCGTTTTTGCCATTGGATTTACATAATGATTTGGTTTTGGTTTATGTTCATGAACTTTTCTTCATCATATATTGATCCAATTCTTTATATTAAAGCGCTCTAATTTTGTTATGGTCTCCAACATATATATGTTGATAAAATCTATAAACTTGCATACTAAAGCGGAAATAATACGTTAGTATTTCTCTGGCAGATTCAATGGCGAAAAATGGTTGCAATTGAAAGATAGTCATCGATTTATAGCAAAGTGTAAGACACAATATGTGGCGAATCGTTGTTTTTTCCCGAAATTCCGCAAAAAAAAACTTTTGTACAGTTCCAATAAATGCAATAAATTTAGCATCATTTCAAGAAGAAGAATTCTAGTAACTTGCAAGTGACTCCAATGTTAAACAAATAAATACCTAGACAAAAATCATTATCCGTTTCAATGTGAAACATTCAAAATAATCATGTGTTTTAAACCAATCTGAAGTTTAAGAAAAAAAAGCGTTCGTAGATCGAGTGTGTAATGCGTGACAAAAGAGAAAGAATAGACAAGTTTAAGCTAATCTTAATTTATATATCACAACCAATAAAGGATGAGAAAACTCAGCAAAAAAAAAATTGAAAAAACAAACACACATATACAAGCTGTGAACATTTATTTTGAAATTTGTGTGAAAAATATTGATTGAAATCAATGCTATATGTATATTCAACAACGTAGAACTGCGAAATAAAAAGAAATGAAAACACAAAAAATGTACCTATCTGTTTTATTTATGATCTTCGGAAAAGAAGAAATCAAGTGAAAACGCCACAGAAACCGAAGAATGTCTAGAAACAATCGAATATTCGTGTTTATTTTCAATTAATTGCGATGAAGTTTGTAAATTCAGCGTAATGAAATTGATATTGATTTTTTAAGTGTGGATGTGTGTGAGTGTGATGAGGCGTCAGCCGTTGCGGGAAAGTCGTTGTCTTCGTCATTTGCCATTATTCGGGCAGAGACCATCAGAAGGACGCAACGGTAAGTATATATATGGTGTACAGACACGAATTCTCATTGTGTTTTATATACGCCCATTGTTGTTGGCAAGCTGACGACACTTCAGTACAAACATCATTTGAGCGCTCGCAGCGCCACGAACTCTCGTATCATTTTGTATTGACTTTTCGATAGTTCATGAGTTCGCCGTGGACTTCGTCAAAACGTGTCGTCCCTTTGGTTGTTGGTAATTGCACACAATTCTGACGAAGAGCGGCGGTGGTGAGCTCTCGCACCATGCCAAAAGCAAGACCACATCTATATAGTCGGTGTCCAGCTGAAAATCGTAAGTGAAAATATATGAACCTTCTTCTTCTTCTTTTTTTTCCTTCAAACCTAATTAATAGAATTATTCACACCATTTGCCGCACACTCCCATTCAATCCGTCCGAACTTGAAAAGCTGAAATTCTTTTAATTGAGTCCGAACATATTGTAGACCGGAGAAAAAAAAAAGACGACGCGAATCGCGTCCATCGCAGCAATTTCCCACTTAGCCAAATAGAGGGAGCGTGCGCAAAATACATTATAAAACGAGCGGATTTTCAATTATGACCAATTTTTTATCGATTGAATCTTCACCTTTTTCTTCGAATGGCTTTGAAGTTCGATTTTGTTCGCTTATGCTTTTACCTCGACTCGTGCGCGCTCCTATCTTCAAACGATTCATATCATTTAAGTGGTATTGTGTCAATCCTTTTGCGTATTATATTATTTACCCATCATTTTTTACACATGCAATCGCCTCAAATGATTTGAACCAGTGCAAGCGGAACGGCCGCTTCAACGGTGGCCACATGCTTTTCATTACCATGCGTGCTATAAAATTATTATCAATATTGATCTCGTGCAATTGATAACATAGAAATTATAAAACGTTGATGCGGGGACAGAGACAGGACAGGGACGGGCAAGGGGGATTCAATCTTAAACGATCATTTAATTACCGCTTAATTGAGCCTGAAAAATTGATTGTAATTCCGTTTCTTTTTTCGTTTGTTGATTATTATTAATTTTATCATTTCATTCAGCCCATTTTTTGTCGTTGATTTTGTTTCAACCGGTAAAGTTCGGCAGAACAATGGCACTAACTTCAATGTATAATTATATCATTTGAAAATGACACATTCACAGCTGTTAAATGTGTGACAAAAACACCATTACAAACACAATAAAAACCATGGCATACAAATCAAATCAATAATTGTATGACCAAACGGCATTTATGTTTATAATGTCTAACTGCACACGATCATCAAGGTTTGATGTGTGGTTTGGTTTTCTTCTGTCGTTGTGTTCCATGAAAGTTTATCAAGATAAGCGCAATAAAGTCGAGTGATTTTTCGATCAAATGGTGTTGATTAAATAAGGGAAACATCCATATACATAACGCCTTTTTGCGTTGGAATGAACAGAGAAAGAAAAATTATTAGGAGCTGAAAGAGTTAGGAGCTGAAAGAGTAAAAAAGTGAACACGGTGAATAAATGGCAAAAATTGAGATTGAGATTGAGTTGAAAGATCGAATCGGTTGACATCTATCAATATACCGCTTAATTCGTTTGAGCATATTAAGAACTCTCGGATTTCAAATAAATGGCGGGCACGGCACACTGGTGCACATTGACGGCACAACGCGCGTAAGCCCGACTACACAATGATTGTATAATAAATTTGATTCGTGATTAGTGCGATTGGGATTTTGAACGACGACGGTGGCAAACGGCGTAACACTGCATTGAACAAGTAGCATATGCGTATTGAACGTGTGCAAAAGAAGGCAGCTTGACTTTTTTTCTAACTACCTTGTTATAACATACACACACACATTGAGAGCTAGCATTGTTGTGCTTTCCAATAAGCTGTTTTATTACACGCCAAACCGTATTTAATTGAACTGGTTTCATGTTCATGTTCATCGTTTCGTATTGAGTTGCACATGTAAAATGAATCTATTGAACGAAATAATAGCGAACAACAGCAGAAAAAAAAACGGTGTGTGTACAATAAGCACATTGAATTTGCAACGGCGTTGAACTTAGACATCTAAATATAAACAGACCCTCACACCACCAATTCAATCATTGGTGGATACATTTTTTATGTTCAGTCGTTGTTTTTTCTCTGCTGTTGTCGTTTATTTGTTTCATTTTTCCTTCAAGCCTTTTTTATTAATCATGATTATTAGGTACACACACAACGTTTTTTCGGTTTCTAATAATGTCTATTTTCTTTGAGTTAATTAGCGGCATTTTTCAATTCTCATTAGGCTAATATTTAAGTTTTATCTCTAACCACGATATAATTAATTGAAATCGTAAATTATGCATCAATTAAAAGCGATTTTGATGTAATTGCTTTTTGTTTGTTTGTTTATTTATTGATTAAATAACGAAATGATGAGAAAAAAATATATGAAGAAAAACGACAGGCACACGACAGTGTATTTAAAGTACACCTACTGATTTACGCATTCAACAAGAAACCAAATATTATTCGATTTTTTTCTTCTTCTTCTCTCTGTGTCGCATTAATAAATGGCCAGATTTGTGGCTATTGTTGTTGCTTCTGGCCGCTTCTGAAATGTAGACGAACACGCGCTAAAACTTAAGTGTATTTCCAGTAAATTATCCGACTGCAAACAAAAAGCTATACCTTATCCAATTTCGAAGATGGAAAACAATCAGTCGAGCGTTAAAATGAAATCGTGTTATTTTACACACAAAATGATATTTACATTTGACCAAGCCACCGCATCGGATCATCGAGCATCGGTCGTCTTTCGTCCATGTGTGTTGCGACTAAGCACGATAGTTAGCTGCTAGATTAAATATGATTAATGAACATAAATACCACTAAACATGAAAATGTGATGAAAAAAAGAGGCGAGTATAAACCGACTAATAATAATAATGAATGTGTGATGTTAAGCTCATCTCACTGCCAACCAAATCGATTTCAGTGGATATATTAGTGAAGCGCCAACAGAGAGCAATTGAGCATCGTTTATTGTTCGTTGTTTTTTTTTCTTCGGTTGTTCGTTTCGGAAATCTACGAAATTCAAGATGCTATTTTTTTTGTCGTCGTATTGACATAACCGCACGCGCCCATGCACACGACATTGATTAAAGACTCGATGAACCATTGCACAATTGTGGTTGTGTGTTTGTCTGTTTGATTTGGCTTTGCGCATGATCTATCGGCTCATTGAAACGGTTAAAATTTTCTCTCTCTCTCTCTCTCTCTCTCTCTCTCGTCCAAGCTCACTCGCTCTGTCTCTCGTCTAAGCTCTCTCTCTCTCTCTCTCTCTTCAGATGCTTAAGTATATTTACTGTCATCTATGGCCGAATTCAAAGCCAAACAGTAGCCAGAGTCATTGATTTTTTACTGTGAAATTATCACGCACACGAAACAAAAGATGAAATTCGGCACAGTGTGTATGCTGCGTTTTATATTCACTGATTTGAGTTGTGTTGTCCAAACACAAAAATCACACAACCGCTCACTTAACGAACGAGAGAGAGAGAGAGAGAGAGAGAGAGAGAGAGAGAGAGAGAGTTGAGTGTCTTGGCAAGAGGACCGCACGCATAGCGCGAAAAGGTGAGCAGATATTTTGGATTAAGGAAGAAATCATCATTTTTGTGATGGTATTTTTTCGGGCTATTTCCACGGTGCTTTCCTCTGGACCGCATGCAGTAGTATGAGCCCAGTTGGTTTTAATGAATGCATGTATGCATATAAATTAAGATGAAAGGATGATTCAAGGAGACAGAAATGGAGTGGACTCGATGTGGCCGCGTGCATATGCACACACACCGTGTATGCAATCAACCACATGCAAAAGCCCTGAGTACAATGCGAACACTGCAAATGCATGTTCACTAGTCTCATGAGAATATATCCTTGGCTTGATTCGATCTCAATTCGTTCATTCGTTTGTCGTTTTTTGTCTCTCCACTATATGATTTAAATCAGAATATTTGCCACTGTGCGCCACATATGAAATGCTTTGCTTCTTTTGCCTTCAGCTAATCATCTTTATTTGGTTTGCTCATTGCACTGTCCCTTTTCGCTTTTTTTATTGTCATTATTATTGTAGTACATTGAATCAAAACAGACAGAGAAAAACAAACACGTCCCAATTCAACCAACTTTATTTCGGTGCTCGTTTTACTTTCGTTGGAGTTCTAATTGGCTTTGTGACAAATGCATATAAGACAGTCGCATGATTTATATTTGAATAAACAATATTTAAAACATGCCATGTTAAAGACACACGGACCGAACATAAGAAGAAAAAAAATATTCATAAAATTCGTGAATGTAGATATGCAACGGATCGGTGTGCCACTACCGCGTCTGTGGAGAGAGGAAAAAAAAAATAAAGAGAGAAAGAGGTATGTATCAATCGTAAGCATTCATCATGTCGCATGCATATCATTCGACTCAACTGCTTTTCTCCTTTTCGGCCATACACGATACTAATATGCATTTGATTTAGTACGCTTGTTGCTGTCCACCCGATGCCAGATCGAGAGATGCTTTGTCTTCCGGACAACAACGTTATTATCCGGTTTACGATGCGCGCTCACAATAACTCGCAAAACATACACGTACAACGAAATGACAACGAAATACACACAACGCACCACAGAGAGAGATAAGAACATAAAAAATGAAACGATTCTATTTGAATAATAACC